GACCTCCTTGGTTTAAAAAAAATCATCCAGTTCTAAAAATTGTAAAATAAATGGTTTAGTTCTAGAAAATAGTGTAACCATTTTAATTTTGCTTCTAAATATTTTTTCTAAAAATATAATTATAATTTATTAATAGTTAACCGATGATTAATCATTTGTCAAAATTCGTAATTGTAACTATAATTTTAATTATTAATCATCATTTTTAGTGATTCAGTTAACTAAAATCATTTAATCTTAACGATTACATCGATTAACAATTACAGGTTAATCTGAACACCCCTACTGACACAATAATCTACCACATCACCTCAGCATTCATGGCAGAAGCTTCGGCAGTTATTCATGGCTTGCGATTCATCTTGGACTTAGGTATAGATCAATGGTGGTGGAGAGTACTTGATTCAAAAACTTTCATTTCAAATTTAACTGATTCTTCACTCTTACAAGAAAAAACACATGAGTAAACTAATACCTCTATGCCTAGTGTTGAAAACCATTTCACAAAGAAACTCTTGCAACTAAACATGACACAGATGTCTTCATTCATCTATAACATCGAGAAAATATCAAGTATTGAGAAATCTTTGCTGAGTATATCCGAGGATATATAAATTACTTTGTCCAATTTTAAAATTTTAAATGCAAGTACGCAAAGACACAGAGATCTTCCGCAACACAAGTGTCTACACACCTCTAACCACTTAACAGACTGACAATTACAGATCTACACAAGGAACCGAGATGCTTCCACCTCGATGTCGAGACAAAAATATGTCTCACTTCTACTTACTGCTAGGGAAATGCGTTGAGAGGCCTCTAAACCCGCCACAGTACATTACCACATACTGAGTAGTTACCCTCTACCTGACTTAGAGGCATTGAGATGCCCCACATTACCAGATTACATCCCAAAACGAAATAAGAGCCTTCATTTTAACAAAGTTTCAATAAACAAATATCTTTCTCCTATCCTCTAGGCACATATATGTTATTACCCCTGTACTGTCACAAGACCCCTCCATTCATTATCTGAACTTCCCAAAATACGTTGAATTTCCTCATCTCTAACCAAAGAAGTCGAGACACACATACTCTAATCGTAAGAAGTTACTTATTACCAACACTACCATCATAGCAAGAAAAGGTTGACATCTTCTCTACAAGTCTACCTAAGGTTGATGTCCTTCGTTTAAGGGTAAGCGTTGAACCGGACTCTTCTAAAACAGAAAATGAACTACCTCTATCTAAAAAAAATAAATGTTAAGGCAGCTCCACTATCGAACAAAATCAGGAAATGGCAATTCACTCACCAGTCACGGATAGCTGCCCAAATTAAAAGAGGTGAACTGCAAACGGGCGACCAGATAGATTCTTCACCATAAATCTCGGATCAAATCATTTTATGGCATTCTATTGATCAAGGGGGACAACTTGTTACATATCTGGAGATAACCTTTGAAAACCACCAGTCCTTCGGCAGTTGAAAGCCCTAAACAGACGTCTCCACCCATTGGAATTGTTAAAGGATCCTAACCCCCGAGAATGAGAGCATAAACGAGACCTTTAAATAAGATTTCTGACAGAACCATGTGATCTATTAGAGAGAAATCTGAGATCTAATTATCAGATCTATTTAACATGTTGAACTATAAATAGTCATAACACCTTTATATATGGCATTGTCAGTTGAAGGCTACTATCAAGCTCGTTTCTGAGATTTTAATGGCTTGGGGTGAACATATAAATAAGACCCCTAATAGCAAGTATTGAAAAATTGAATCATAAGAACAAGTAAAACTAAATAAATTTGCTTGTAAATTATTTTTTATTACGTTTGATAAACTATCTAATAAATACATCGAATTTTAAATAGAAAACATCAAAAAAAAATTATTAAACACCCAACTACTCACACAAAACAAATATGATTATTTTTAAAAGGGTACATGTTAGATTTTAACATTTTCCATCTTGTAAAAAATTAATAAAAGAATAATTAAGTGAAAAGTAAAAACAATAATTTAAAAATTCCACCTCAGTGTCGTCGTCAAATTTTTAATGGTGGGTAATAAAAAAAAGTAACAAAATGTAACGTTAAGTATGATTTAAAAAATAGATTACCAAAATAGAAATAATATAATAGGTGAGTGACTAAATAAATAATTTATTCTTATAAACTATATGTGAATTTATAATTTTGGGCCATGGACAAGTGCCCCTCGTGCCCTTGCTGCCCTGACCACTATGAACACCCTTCAACTATAATTGTACATGGGTTGAAGACCTTCTTCTTCAACATACCCTTCATTATACTTTTAACTCTTTCACATAGAAACATCGATCAACAACCTTCTTCTCACATATTGTGATTCTCCTTTCAAATCAAAAAATATCAACCGCCAACGACCGATGAAACTAATATTTTGCCATCAACACCTATCACAGTTTATTTATTTTTATATGTAAATTCTTAACTATAATTAGTCGAAGAATCATGAAAGCACACAACCTAATTCGTTTTATTAATGTAGAAAATATGGGAATATTCAGTCGGCTATAGACAGTAGTTTTGTTCAATATCATACTTCTTATGTGGTTCAATGCCGTAATTACCTACCAGTTTGTTGACAACTCGTCTTCTTTATTTATAATACTACAAGCCAGGCAGGTTCTTCCCACATCATTGGCTTTTTCTGTCCTTAAGTTCCAGTTTTTCGTAAAAAAAAATGGGGGATTCATCATTGATGATTGCTCTCTTGGTGTAGCCTTTGTTTGTTTTGATGGTCTTTCCTATTGTTGGGTTCATTTTGTTCCTGGTTGTCTTTTCTGTTTGAGAATGGCTTTCGTCGACAAATGAAGTCCCTATGAGACGCCATTCAAAATAGAACACGTACACGAAAATAACGTATCAACGCACTATAAAGAAACACAGCTGAGAAAAGTAGGAGTTGCCATCGAGTAATATAAGCAAACTCATACTGTTTATCTATAAACAGTCACTGTATGCCAAGTAAAATTTCTCAAGCAAAAAGTATACAGAAAAGTGATCCAAAATGGAAGGAGTTGTCAACAGTTTCCTCGTAACGTTTTCCCTCTTGGCTTTGGCTTCCATGTTAGCCTCCGCCTCGGACCCTAGCTCTCTCCAGGACTTCTGCCTAACCCTCAATGGCACAAACCACAATGGTAATGTGGTACACCCTACATTTTCTAAATAGATATATATGTTTCTTTTTTCACTGACCTTGTACATTATTTGCTTTTACTTCAGTGTTTGTAAATGGGAACTTCTGCAAGGACCCAAAGCTTGTCACTGCAGATGACTTCTTTTCAGGACTCGATAATGCTGGAAACACATCGAATGCAGTGGGATCAAGAGTCACTACTACTGTCAATGCTGATCAAATACTGGGACTTGACAAACTGGGGATATCCCTGGTTCGAATTGACTATGCACCTAATGGTGGCCTAACTCCTCACACTCACCCTCGGGCCACCGAGGTCCTAGTCGTGACCAAGGGTAAACTTTACGTCGACTTTGTCACATCCAATCCTGATAATCATTTATTCGCCAAAGTAAGACGGGAAGAAGTGTTTGTTTTTCTGGTCTGTCTCATTCATTTCCAATTCAATATCGGGAATACTGACGCCGTTGCCTTTGCCGGTCTTAGCAGCCAAAACCCAGGGGTTGCAACCATTGGTAGTAGTGTCTGGGTCTAACCCACCTATCAATCCTGATGTTCTTCCTAAAGCCTTCAGAGTGGATAAGAAGGTGGTGGAATTTCTCCAGACCCAGTTCTGATCCAATCACATGAAGCTGCTTTGAGTTTATTTGGTTTTACTATCTCTAATGTACCTCTCATCTGCCTATGTTTATCTTTGACCTTTTTTTTTAAAGTTCATAATTCAGTAGTGTCATTTTCTTCTCTTTTATTCATTTATTCGACTCCCATATTTCATATATATATTTAAGAGAAAATTACAAGATTAAATATCTAATCACTTTAATTAAGATATAATCACTGAAAATTAACTACCGTTGGACCTTTGACGTATTATTAGCGTAGTGCAATAAATTTATAAAATTAAAAAGAATAAACTACACCAAATAATCACTAATATTCAAGTGAGTTTTTATTTTTCCCACTAAAATTTCAAAAATAATAAATTGATCACTAAAATATCAAATAGGTCATTAAACAATGATTTTATATCTAATTTACCCAAAATCTTTCCAATTTTCTCCAATTTTTATATATGCATTTTAATTTTCTAAAAGTAAAACTTTAAAATTAACTTTTTTAGACATGAAACAATCAAACATGAAACTAACTTTTCTAATTATATTACATTTTTTGAATTTAATGAGAAAAAATATATAAAACGTAAACGAAAATGATCAATTTACCCCATATTTAAATAGGGTTACTAGACTATGATCCAAGGATAAAGTTATGACCTTAGTACAAGCTAAAAAGAGAAATCTGATTATGAAAATCGTTATAATGCGATCATTATGCTGCGATCACAATCTAATATTATGATTTGTTATTTTATGTTAGAAATATGAAAGATATACGATGTGTTTTTTCTTTAGGTTGGTGTGTAGGTGTGCTGTCTTTAATCAACAGCTATAATGGCAAAATATTGCCAACCTTGAACTATTCCAATGATGTATAGTACAGTTGTTGAAGAATGTACCTATCCAAAAAAAAATACAAAAATCTAAAGTCATCAGTAGATAAAGAGGAATAGGCCTACCTAGGGATGTTGGGGGGGGGGGGAACATAGATTCCACAGTCACTGCTAGAAGAATATAGATCTACAATTTTAAACAAAACAAAAACCGGGAATTAGTTGCTACCTCTCATGGAAGATGACAACTGTTGCACCAGCTTTCAACCTGCAACAAGCTAGATAGAGTGAAGACGACCTGTTATTATGATTGTGAGCTGTTCCCATCCATCCACGTGATTGCCATTCATTGAACCAGTAAATAACCTGGTAAATAGAATATATGATAGAATAGAACCACAAACAGATTATATATATTTCCCACCTTTAAGCATGTATCTCATTTCCATTGTGATTAAATCACTCTAAAACAATCTCTTTATCCTACAAGGACCACTTTTGTTCTTCTTCCACTATATCATCATTCTTTTATCTACAATTCCCGTTTCGTTCCTATCTATCATAAGGGAAATCAAAGTCAGTCTCAGTGATTTTGAAGTGCTGCGGCTGCTGCCCTGAGCAATGCAGGTTCCACATTTTGAAGTATGACCTTTCCAGATTCCGCACCTGTCATCGTTTATAACTCAAATCGTCAAGCATTCATAACAATAGCCATGCAAAAATATAATAATCTGCAGTGTTGATTAAGCTTTACCCAGCGTGCTGTGTCGAAAAGGGGGCAAGTTAAACGAGCAGCCTTGAGTTTATTGGTAAGAACATGAAGCTTCTGTCTGTTTAATGCCAATGTCACAGCCCTTTCTTCGTATTCCTTCATACTGTAAACGGGGGGAAGAAATTTCAATAACATAATATCGCCGCATACAAATACGAATATACCTAATCGCCAAGGGCAATGTTAAACACCTACCTGTTTACAATCATCTCCTCCCCCAAACCAGTAGCCAAACAAAGCGAACCAGCAACCCTTGTAGCCATTTTCTCGAGAGGAAGAGTCACCATAGGTAAGCCAGCCCATAACACATCCGTGCCGGTAGTATGTGCATTGCATAAAGGGCTATAAAGAAGAGTAATGTAACCATCATTACGTAGCTGCAGATAACAATAACGGTATTAAACAGAGAGAGAAGGGAAGACGAGACTTACGTGTCAAGACAGAGATCAGCTAAAGCACTGCGCCTGATATGTTCATGTTTCATTGCAACATCTGTGAAAATTATTTGCTCTGGCTGTACCCCTTGTGCAACAGCATCTGAAATGAAGATCAACATTAATAAAAATATATATAAAATATATAAAAAGGAAATATTTGAAGGCTTTGTTCTTAAAAGAAAACATAAATGAAGAACCTACATTCTTGCAGCCTCATTTCTCCAGCAGCTGGGAATCTGAGGAGCCAAAGTGCACTATCTGGTACACGCTTAAGAATATTACACCTGAATGGTAAAAGAAGCGTGTAAGTTCAATGATGAAATATGGATATTAAATTCATTTAACCCAGGGATCACCAGCATATTACCAAGTATTAAAGATTTCAGGATCCATTTTATACAATTGGTTGAAACATGCAAAAATAAATTTATCTTCAGGAAGGCCATAATCAGAACGCTTGTGCTGATAATTTGGATTCAACACATCACGATTTTTCTGCAAACGTTAAAATTATAAAATCAGGTCTTTACTGTCATAAGAGTCTACTTCCACTGAATAGATTCTGTTTTACATAACAATTAAAGAAAAGGGGAAAAAAAGAACTGACCTGCTTATAATCATTCACAAAATAGCAATGAGGGAGATGGACAAGTTTCTCAGAATAAATATGTGCATAGCGCAAAGGTGAAACAAACTGAAAACAAAGGAATCGCAGGTTAGACAAAGAACATATGCATCATTGGAGGTTTAGTTTACCTCGAGCACCAATTATTACCTCATCAGTGACCAAGTAATCAATGTAATCTGCCCCAGTAGTCCCAGGGAATCCCATATATGAAACTTGTATAGGTGCCGGTTGCATGGCAAAAATTTCATTCCTTGCACCCTGTATTATTGAGCATAAATTATTTCATATCAGAATTTCACAAAGTGGATAATTTAGAAATGTAAAAATATAACACTTTTTAGCACATTATGCTATTAATAAGACAACCCCAAAAAATTACAAAGAAAAGAATTTCGATTTATTTTTAATTATCATATCATAGTATCATAAATCAATATAGCAAGCCACTGAAAATAAAATTAGGTTCGTCAAAGAATGAGAAAATCGAGCATAACCTTAGTATAACCATTCAGGTTGATAAGAATTTGTATTCCGTCATTGTTAATCATCTTGGCAATCACATCTGATGTCATGGCAGAGACATCTATAAAATGCTCAGCTTCAGATTGGATACGCTGTCTCCATTCAGTGCCATCATTTTGACTCAAGGCATAGCAAAATACCTGCAAACACACCACGCTTACATGTTAATCATGGCCAGAAACTTTTAGCATAACAAGATTACCCTCCCCCAAAAAAGGTAAAGAGAACAACCTCTACATTCTCTCTATCGTGCATGCCAAATACTGATCCCATGAGGTGTGACAAGGGGTGATTGCCGAAGTCACTGCTCACATAACCAACCTTTAGCCTCTGATTTCCATCATCATTCTTAATAGGAATTGGAGCAGGAAGGTTAAAAGGAGGAAGAGCAAAACGTGATGCAATCAAGGAGGAATAAGCAGCATATTTACGGCTGCAAGGGAAGAAATGTTACTGTAAATCTCTAGATTACAACAGCAAAAATACATACAGTGATATGAAAAGATGTTTATACCTTATTTCAAGTGCAAGCATTGGATCAATGGGATATGCTATAGCATGGAAAGGTTGCACACTAGGAAGAACAGACATCTGACATAAAGGATTTTTGTGGTTAATTGCATTGCCGAAAAAAGATAAAATGAATAACATGCATATCAATACTCACATTAATCTGCCTTCGGATAATAGCCTCAACTTCAGTAAACATTTTATCACGATCCTCCCAGCTGCACAAACTCTGAAAATATAAAATCAAATTAGATAGTTGATCCCAATTCAATATGTTTCTCAGCGAAAAGCAAGTTCATCCACGTAGTTATTTTGAAGACCAAGTTCCAAAGTAAATTCCAATCTTGGCCACAGTTCACTCAATAAGTGATTAACTCTTACGAGAGACAAGTATACAGTCAGAATATGATCACCTAAAGAGGTTGAATGCCAAGAAAGAAATTGGCACATCCCAGAAATGCTTCCTACTACTACATAAAATGTTACCTCGTACATGTAAATGTAGCTTTTTCCTAGATTTGAATTCAAAAGTGCACTAAAATTCAAGCCATAATACCTGTAATGTATGTAGGAGGTTACAAGTAGCTTCAGGAAAATCTGGTCGAAGAAGCAATGCCTGCTTATAGCTTGTGACAGCAGCCACCACATGCCCACTGTATTCAAATTTACAGTTAAACCAAACTAAGAATCACTAAATTGCTAGTAAAATGCATTTCCTTCACCCCAAAAAGAAAGAATCTTAAATATGTCATAAAATTTAATCTGACAAGGTAGGATCAGGAAGCACCACATTCGTTTTTCGTCATTTTGGATGAAAACCACACATAATTTTTTCCATATTCTTTCTAACAAAAAAAAATAATTCCATATTCTGAAATCTGAACTATAATGGTTCAATTAAAGACTATACAAAGTGCAATCAACTATAGAAGGATGATGATTCATACTGAAGTTATATTGACATTTAACACCTAGCACAGGGAATGCAAAAAATTAAAATGACAAAAACCTTCACCAAGCAAGGAATGTGAATGTAAACCAATGAGGTGTTATTATTCATTAGCAAAGGGCATGGGTCATAAAGCCAAAAGATATTGCTATAAGCTCAGAAAATAATTCCAAACAAAATCTTAATCAAGGCAAACAAACTCCTTGAGAACCCTTTAAACAAAAATGGGTGGGTGCCAAGGAATGTGACCATTAAAAGAAATTATGGAAACAAAAAAGGTACCTATCTTTATAAGCAGAAGCCAGATTTGCATGGGCCTCAGCCATATTTGGTCTGATATTAATAGCGCAAATATAATCTTGAATTGCTTCACTCACTCTACCAATCTCCTTGTAAGTGTTACCCCTATTTACAAGTCCATCAGCTGCCAATGGATCAATCCGCAAAACCTCATTGTAACAAGATATAGCTTCCATGTAATTTCCCTACAGAATCAATAAATACTCCATAAATATAGAGGCAAAAGGGGCACTATTTAACATCCATTTAGTGTGAAAAGAAAAAACAGAAAATAAAACACCATAGAACCTGTTGCTTATAGATTACTGCAAGGTTATTGAATGGAGCAGATAACCCTGTTGTGACAGCCAATGTAGCCTTATAGTAAGAAGCAGCAGCAGCAACCATGTTCCTGAGAATTCCAAAAAAATCTTGGTAAGAATAACATTCACTAAAAACTCATCACAAGCTGAATCTTAATCTTCAAGGATAGCGTACCATTCCATATATATGTTCCCAAGGTTGGTAAGTGCTTGTGGATGGTTGGGTTGCAATGTGAGACATTGCTTCACCAGCGGAAAAAAAATGGTATGTTTTCAATAACAGTAAATGAGAAATAAAGCTTAGATAGCAGAAAAAACCTACATTATAGCATTGAATTGCCTCGTCGACACGACCCACGTCTTTCAATGCATTTCCCTTCAAGACAATAATTAAATGCAAATTCAAGTTAGCAAACAAAAAGTGTAAAAGAATTACTTCAATCTGATACAAATTCAGAAAACCAACCAAATTATTGTAAGCTTCCACAAATCTTTGATCATATGCAATAGCTTGCTTATAATGGAAGATCGCCAAGTCCAGCTGTCCTCTCTCATAGTATGTACTAGCCAGATTCCCTGCACCAGTCACAAGACTTGTTACCCCGGTGACATAAATTAAGAATATCTTTAACATGTAATAAAGGCTCAGATATCCCTAATCACAAAAATTGGTAGACAAGTATTGGATCATAGTAAGGTCTATAAATCACACTTTATCATGTTGGCTGGGACTCAAACTTCCAAAGATGCAGTGACTTTGAGGTTAATATGTAAGAGAGAGAGAGAGAGAGAGAGAAATCAAAAGATGAAAGGAGAAACTACTGCAGAAAACAAATCACAGTTTCAAAGTAAAATAAAATAGGTCTTATTGACTTTACTCATTTATCTGAACACAACAGTTGAAATAAAACACACACACACATCAGCAATCAAGCAGCCCATTGCAATTCAACTGACCCACATAAAGAGAAAATATAGAGGATTCATGTGGTTTAACAGCACTTACCCAAAGCTATTGGATTGTTCGGCCGAGTCTGAACAGCTTGCTGATAATAGACAATAGCCTCCTGAGGCATTGCCAAAGCCTGGAAAAAGTAAAAATGATATCTTGTTTTTCTCCAATACAGAAGCACCAGTTCAAACACTTTGCAGCAACCCAACATTACAATCACAAGGCAAGAGGGCTTACCTTATAAATGTTCCCAATATTTAAATAGGCATCAGGAAACATGGGTTTGTGTTTAACAGCTTCCTGCCATTTGAAATTTACAAAATTAAATCAATATAAAATGGTTTCTAGAATTGAAAACAAGAGAGCAGAAAAGGGTAGATATATCTCATACAATTTGTCAAAAAACAATTAGCACATGAAACAATGTGCAAGCAAGAAGAAAAATGAAAATTACAGCATTTGAAAAAGAAAAACACCATCAAAAGAAATGATGGAAACAAGATTTAACATACCTTGTAATACTGAAGGGCTCGATTTAGGTCGCCTGAATCCATGAAAAGACCAGCAAGATTTGACCATGCAATAGCAAACGTCGGCTGTATCCGTAGAGCCTCAAGATAGCAACTGTATGCCTGCACAAAATGTTAGATTCTGACAATTCGAGGCTTTTGAACATGGAAGTTACAACAAGAGCAACCATCATCTGAGCCCCTGGCCTGAAGAAAACAACTTGATGTCTGTATAGAACTGTGATATCAAGACGATTCCACACATGAATTACGTCCATCAGTAACTTAACTGATAAAGACAGTAAAAAATCATCTAGGAAGGATGATTTCCACTAACATTTCGTTCTGGCAGGATGGTAAGAATCTAGGCCAGGTTTAACCCAGCAATGAGCATACACACTCATGCAGGGCAAAAGATTAGACAACTTCATCCAAAAGATGGATAGAATGAGATCCGACCAAAATTCTAATTGCAGATGTTCAACATTGGAGTTGCCAAGGGCATGAATGCATCAGTTAAATAATTCAGCCCGGAAATTCACATATATACTACTACTTATGTTGTTGGTTATCAAACACTATAAACATTTAATCCTTCACACTTACTTCTTGAACCAGACCTTGAGCCTTCATTAGATTTCCAAGGTTACTATGAGCATCAACCTGTAGGGTAATCAAAAGATATTTGTCAGAATATCTTATTGAAATGTGACATGATCCGGTTGTTAAGAAAGTAACCAAAACAAGAAATTGAAATGTAGAACTTCCTGTTAATTTGAAAATTAGAACATTTAATTGGATTAAAATAACATATAACGTTGGAAATCCTAAAATTAAGGATAAATTACTCACCTTATTCCTAGAAGTTCCCTTGTACAATAGGATCTAATCTTAGTCTCTAATTCTTAGGGAGTTACTGATTTTTAGGGATCGTTTCCTTATTTATACTTAGACTACTCTATAAAGGTTGTAAAACTATTTAGTAAAAAATAACAACCTTCTTTCTAAGTTTGTTCATAGCATCAGAGCTATAGGAATCATTTGATCATGCTCCTTTCGTCTTTATCTTCTTGTCCTTCTCGTTAATATTTCCTACCTCTTCGATTGAATCCATTTTCCATGGGTGCCAATGAAACTCTATCCGAAACTGAAAACCTCACAAATGACTCAGACTTTTAACCAAGGAACCTCTCAAGGTGACCTTAATTCCTCCCTCATAATCACAAATCATCGTCTAGATGGAAAAAATTTCCTGCAATGGTCTCAATCGGTCATTACGATAATTTGTGGCCGTGGCAAATTAGGTTACATCAATGGAGAAATTTCTCGATCAACCCCAACAGATCCGACTTACGCGACTTGGGAACTCAACAACTCGATTGTAATGGCTTGGCTAATTAACTCAATGGAAGGCCATATAAATCCCACCTATCTCTTCTTCAAAAAGTGCAAAAGGCGTGGGATGCAATCAAAGAAAACTAATCGGGTCTGGGAAACGCCTCCCAAGTATTCGAGATATCACCTTTGTTTAGAATGAACCATACTTTGCAGCATCTCATCTTCATGAGGAGACTCTCAATGAAGATGAGACCCTCAATACTCTTCTCATTATACCTCAGGATCCTGCCTCTACTATCACAAACAAACCTAACAACCCAACAGTCACTGTAATTCCAGATTTAGGAATTGTTTCTCCTGTGCAACAGCAAGAAATTAGCATAATTAATCACACCACTGAAGAACAAAACCAACCTGATCCAGGAAGGAAGCAAGAACAGGCCCCAGAACTTCGGGATTACTCCCGACGACTTTATTCTCCTGAAACTGAAACAGCAATGCCAATTTCATCCCCAGCCGAGGACTGTTCTGAAACAGAAGTATCACCTCCATCACCATCCATCTTCTAATTACAATTCGAAATGGAACAAGGAGTTGTACTCAACACCCTATTTCTCGGTTTGTGTCCTATAAAAACTTATCTAAGTCTTATAAAGTCTGTGTCTAATGTTGATACTGTAGAAGTTCCGAAAAACATAGAAGAAGCTCTTAAATCAACTAAGTAGAGGCAAGATGTGATGGAAGGCTCTCAAAGACAATGAAATGTGGGAAGTCTCAGATTTACCAAGTGGTAAGAAGACCGTGGGATGCAACTGGACCTTAACTACAAAATTTAAACCCGATGGGAATATTGACCGATACAAGGCTCGGCTTGTGGCTAAGGGCTTTACTCAAACCTATGGCGTTGACTACAACAAAACGTTTGCACCAGTTGCCAAGCTAAACACCATTCAAGATCTCCTATTCCTTGTTGCCAACTTGGATTGGCCCTTGACCCAATTAGACGTAAAAAAACGCTTTCCTCAATGCATAATTAAATGAGGAAGTGCACATGGACTTCCCACCCGGGTTTGAAGAGAGCAAAGGCCAAGTGTGTAAGTTAAAGAAGTCCTTATATGGACTAAAGCAATCTCCAAGGGCGTGGTTCAACCGATTTGCAAAGCTATGACTAGTAGAAGTTACATTCAAGGACAGGCTGACCACACCATGTTTTACAAACACTCGAAAAGTGGAAAATGTTGCATTCTCATTGTCTATGTGGACTATATAATAATATTAACAAGGGATGATTCAAGCGAAATTGAAAGGCTAAAAGATTTTCTTAGTGTTGAATTCGAACTTAAGGACTTGGGGAATCTTAGATACTTTCTTGGAATGGAGGTAGCAAGGTCTAAGGCAAGTATTTCCATCTACCAAAGAAAAGTATGTTCTCAATCTTCTTTCTGAAGTTGGTTTGTTGGGATGCAAACCAGTCAAAACTCCTATGGAATTCAATCTTAAATTGGGAACTGATCAGGATGGAGAAGAAATCGATTGGGGGAGATATCAACGACTCGTAGGGAGACTTATCTACCTATCTCACACTCGTCTAGACATAGCTTTCGGTGTGAGTGTTATTAGCCAGTATATGCATGCTCTAAGGGAGAAACATTTGGAAGTTGCGTACAGGATATTAAGGTATCTCAAAGGGACTCCGGATAAAGGCTTGCACTTCAAGAAAACTGCCAAGCGAAGTGTAGAAGTATACACTAATGCAGACTGGGCAGGTGTTGTTAATGACAGAAGTTCTACAAGTGGTTGTTGTAGTTCTTTTTAGGATAACCTCGTAATATGGAGAAGTAAAAAACAGTTTGTTGTAGAACGCAACAGTGCAGAGGAAGAGTATCGAGCACTATCCCATAGTATATGCGAAGGAATTTGGATACAACGACTACCGGGATAACTAAAAGTGTCCTATACCAAACCTATAAAAATGCATTGTTACAACCAGGCAGCTGTCAGCATAGCACATAATCTTGTTCACCACGATCGCAACAAACATGTGGAAATTGATCGACGCTTCATCAAAGAAAAAATTAACTCGAGAGAGGTTTGTGTTACCTACCTACCTACGAGACAACAAGTTGCAGACTTGTTGACCAAAAGCTTGATCAAAAACATGTTTGAATAAATTATTGGCAAGCTAGGTTTGATAAATATCTACAATCCAACTTGAGGGGAGTGTTGGAATTCCTAAAATTATGGATAAATTACTTACCTTATTCCTAGGAGTTCCCTTGTACAGTAGGATCTAATCTTAGTCTCTAATTCTTAGGGTGTTACAGATTTTTATGGATTGTTAAACTATTTAGTATAAAATACAACTTTCTTTCTAAGTTTGTTCATATAATCAGATCAAAGTATACCAAATGAGGATTTAATTGCAGAGCCTGACGGCAACACTGAGCAGCCTCATTAAATCTTCTCTTCCGCATGTAAGCACTAGTTAAATTTGACCATGCATCAGCGAAGTTAGGTCGAAGCTGCACCGATACAAGTTCAAACAAAGATCGGCAAACTAACAAAAGATTTCACTTGAAAATGAGGTAGACAATACACTATTAACAAAAAGCAATTTGTATAACCATATACAAACCTCAATTGCAATCATATAGTACCGAATGGCAACATCAGTATCGCCTTTTTCCTACATATTAGGGCAAAATACATCTTTGTCAGTTCTTCAAAAATCTTACTTTTTAAAACTCTACTTTTAAAATATTGATATAAAGATTAATAAGTACCTTCCAAGCATTTGCCATGTTCCCATAACACTCAGCAAAGCGAGGCTCAATTCGAAGGGCTTCTTCATTTTTGGCAATGCACATGTCATAATCATGCAACTGAAGCATAGACAATGGGATCATAAAACTACAAAATCAGTATTCTATAAAAAAGAAAATGAAAAAGAGGACCAAAAGGGAGACTTTTTTAACCTGATAATAAATAGCACCCAAAAGGAGTAAATTATCGGTACGAAGTGGGTTTTGGTCATAAACAGCATTGCTATGACCCAATGCTTGTTTGTAGTTTCCAGATTTGTATAATTGATGAGCTAGAGCCAACTGCACATCTTCATTAACTGCACCAAGATCAAACCAACAGCGGCAGAAACAATTAAGAAAAGCATGGTCTATTATTTATGGTAGCCATTTTATAACAACTCTAAAGGCCTAAAATCATTACTTGTATTTTAATTTTAAACAATTACAACATACGTATGTATAATGACGATAATACAACGAAACCCTAAAATTTTAAATTTATGCATCAAAATACGACTTTAAAAAAGGTAAACGCAAATCTAACTGAAAATACATTATAGTATTAAACACAAAGTTAAGATACGAAATTCGAAAACCAGGCTTTTAAAAGGAAAGGTAACAAATACGGAAATCCCAAAAATACAAAATATTAATTTTAAAAACAACGAAGAAGACGAACCTTCAAGTGAATCACGTCCATTGTGAGGCACGATACCGAGGGAAGAAGCCGGATCCAGCTTGACCCCATAAAAGGCAGCTTTTCCGGGAACCACCGAGGAAGCGTCGGAGATAACATCAGTACGATTGACGACGACGCTTCCGTAGGAGGAAGCCCTAGAGATCCCGACTCCGTTGCGCAGCGACAACATCACCGATCCCCCTCCTTCAACAAAAACCAATCATAAAAAAGGGTAAAAACAAAAAGAGCGATGAAAATCGATCAGATCGAAAGGGTGAGAATGAAGCGTTATCCTCTCCTTCCTTCGTTCCTCAATCTCTCTTACGGAGCTTTTGTTTCTTCTTCTTCTTTTCAGAGAAAAAGTAGTATTATAACAATGTAAAGAAAGAGGGGACAAATCAGAAGCGTACAAGTCGGGGAGAGAGGAGATCCGTTAGGTTATACGCGGATAACCAGAAGATTCGTCTGCTACTGACACGTATCTCTGTGCTTGGGCACTCGCCAGATTGTCTTTTGACTTTTGTTTTCCCTTCACCCCACCACCACTAATCTTCTTATTCATAATATTTCTAAATTCTAATCTTTCTTCAAATACCACTCTTATTACTCATTTATATTATTAATGTTTTAATTTTATTAATTTTAACATTGATATTTATATTTAACTGTAATAATATCACTCCTGCATTAATCTATTAATGAGATCATAACATGTAATTTTTATGCCGTAACAATAATGACGTGGCTCAATCATTAAAATGACATCGTTTCGAAGTAATTGTTTTGATGTTCAAAAAATCTAAAATGATATCGTTTTATTAGAGTCATTTGATAAAAATTGTTTCCCATGAGATTTAAAGTAGATTTATTCATAAACCATTGCTAAACAATCAACCACCTTGTTAACTTAATAATTGTTGTATTCTTAACAAAATTAATATATATGTTAAACAGTAATTATATACTTTCATCTTTCTCGTCAATACAAATTCAAATACGCTTCAGTGATGTTAACAAAATACTTGATGAAATGTCAAGCTCATGATCTTTCAACTTTATAAATATCTAACTATCATTACTGACGTCTTACTGAAATTCAAAACTTTTAAATATAACAATTATCTCTTAATAACTGAGATCATTTGATTTATAAATATTAAAAAATATTAAAAACATAATAATTATTATAGAATATTGTTGATATATATAATATATAAGTATGTTAGAAAAATTGTCTTTATGCAACTATATAAGCTACTTTAATGGCTAAAAGGATTATTGATATCTTTAGATGTCATAAGTTCAAGCATCAGAGATTGTAAAATATATGTCATGTATTGACATTCACTACTAATATTATAAGAAGAAATTTACAAATAATCATTAAATTATATTAAAATTATTATTTTAGATACTAAGCTTTCAAAACTTCCATAATGAGCATTAAACTTTAGATTTTGTTACAAAATGAACACAATACCATTAATTGTCATTAGATAGGTGATGTGGCATTTTAAATTAATGAAAAATAACTCATTTGACCCTTTAATTGTAACTAAAATTTCATTTTAGTGTTAATTTTAATTGAAATAATTGTATTAAATCGTTTGAATTGAAAATAAATAAAGTAAATATTATTTTATTGACATATTATAGATATTGAGTTTGTATCATATAAATTATTTGATACGTTATTAAAAGTTAATGATTATTTTGATTATTTATTTAAATATGGATGTATGATGAACTAAAAAAATTCATAACATTATATTTTGGGTAAAATGCACAAAAAGTCCTTGAACTTTTAGGGCGCTTGCATTTTGGTCACCCAACTTTTAAAACTTGCAATACAATCACCGAATTTTTAGTTCGTTTTCAGTAGTCCCTTACATTACATCATGTTAGTTTTATACACATTACCTCCCGTTATATTCTTATTCTTTTTCTTCTTCTTCCTCCTCCCATTTATCTAATTCTCGATTAGTAAAGGCAAAAAGGCACCCAAGGTCCTTGTACTTTAAAAAAATAGTTTGGCCCTCGTCCTTTTTTTTCTTAATCAATGTGACCCTCCAACTCTAACAAAAAACTCAATGTGATCATTTGACCAACGTTTTTCGTCGTTAACCAACAGAACCATTATTTTTTGCTAACGTGACATGTTAACTTGCCCAACTCACCCTTTTAATGTTGTTAGAAATTGGGTAAATTACACAATTTATCATTTAACTATCTCCTCTCTTCTATTTTGGTCACTAAACTTTAAAAGTATTCAATTTAATTAATCAACTTTTGAATTACTCATATTTTAATCACAATAACTTATTTATTATTATTTATATATGATGTGACATTTATTAATATATGATTAAAATAATATTAATCTCTTTTTTCAATCTACACGTTTCAATCTCTCTTTGATTTCTCTTTTTCCTGTGTACATAAACCTCACAAATCCCCTCTCAAACCCCTATTTTCTGTGCCCCTCTTTTTCTTTCTCTATTTCCACCATAATTTTATATTTCCTCCACATAAAGAAGAATAAGAAACACAACAATGGTGAAGTTCTCAAAGGAGCTTAAAGCTCAATTAATCCCAGAATGGAAAGACGCCTTTGTAAACTACTGGCAACTCAAGATACATGTAAAGAAGATCAAGTTCTCCGGGAACACTAAACAACCTCCCTCATCGCATGAACATGAAATCTTCAGTCGCTCCATTTTCGACCCGATTCACTTCATCGCCATGAAAGTAGCTTCGTGTTCATCCAAAAACAAAACTAATGAGATCATCTAGGTGATTACAAAACCAGCAAAAATGGGGTTTTCCTTGGCTTTACAATAAGCTTATTCGACACGATACTTGCTTGAATTGACAACTATCGATCAACGCCTGATGCTGACCAAGCACGTGCATGTGGAGAAAGATGTTGATGTGGTTGTCTAGGTCATAGTACCTAATGACGTGGCACTATCATGTTCGATTTTTTAAAATAAAAATATAAAATATTATTATTAATATTTAATTATTTATTACCAATTATAAGTAACTTTGATTGGCGTTGGTTTAAAGGAAATATTAAAACTTTAATGGTGTTGGTTTGAAGGAAATATTAAAACCCATTATTGGGAGAGAATTTGAACTTGGGTCTACGGTGTGAAATGACAAGGATTTTACCGTCATACCAAGCTACGTGCTTGTTTAATTAATGAAACAAATAGTATTTAATAAATACTTAAATCTGAATTTCAAATTTAAGTATCTCCTCTACATTAAGTTAAAACCCTAGCCAAAGATCAGACATTGAAGCATAGAACGACCTAACAGCAGAACTGGAAGCCAAAGAAATTGAAGAAACTGAAGCAGTACCTGAAACATTGTCCGATCACACATCTCAAAGAGTTGAAACCTTTCTCAAAGATGATGACAGTTTAACTAATACTTTCACGGAAGAGAAATTGGAGGAGAAACTTCAAGGTTCTACCCGCACAATTTTTTTCGAGGATGACGAGATCAGAACTGCATCCCCAACTGAGAAGATACAAGATATGCAGAATGATGGTGGAACAAAATATCGGAGAAGATTCTTTAAACACAAACACAACAGAAGAGGTACTGCATCAGGAGGATGAAGCTCTTGCAGAAGATAACATTGACAATGTTTCTACTCCAAATATCCTGTCAGAGAAGCCCGAGGAGAAAATTCAAAATCCTGCTGTCACATTACCGTCCGAGGAGCATAAGCACGAAACAATCAATGAAGTTGACAAAACTGAAATGAAAAATGGAGATTCCCACAGAGAGGAGGCTGTAGAAGAGAGAATCACAGAAAACGATGAGACAAGAAAATCACCATGAAAGGTGTGAATATATCGGGCAGTCCGCCGTCGAATCTCTACGGGTTATCTCTCTCGTCACAGGAACCGTCACTCAACATTTGAATCTCTAAGGTTGGGAATCTGAAACTGCCGTTGAAACAGCCCGAGCACAAGTCGCAGCTCTCATCGGAGCTTTCCCTAAAGAAATTATCTTCACCTCCGGCGCCACCGAATCGAACAACATCTCAGTCAAGGACGTAATGCTTTTTTATGAAGAAAAAGAAGAGCCATGTCATCACGACTAAAACGGAGCACTGGATTCTTGCCGGCATCTTCAAGAGGAAGATTTCGAGGTAACTTATTGCTTGTTGGGTCTGATGCGCTTATTGATTTAGATAAATTAAGAAAAGAAATCTGGCCGGATACCAGTTTAGTTTCTGTTATGGCTGTTAATAATGAAATAGGTGTGGTTCATCCTATTGAAGAAATTGGTGAGTTGACAATGAAGGAAATGGAGTATGACGAGAAGAGGATCAAAAGTTTGCAAGAAAGGTTGTTGAATGGGATTAGGGATAAGATTGTTGGGGTGGCTTTGAATGGGAGTATGAAACAAACAGTTTTTAAATTTGCAATTCAAATTTAAGTACTTTTTAAATACTATTTGTTTCATTACTTAACCAAGTAAGGAGTTTGGTCTAATGGTAAAATCCTTGTCATTTCATACTTTAGACCCAGGTTTGAATTGTAACATCCCAAACATCGTGTCAGTGACTAAAATGTAAGAATATAAAGTTTGATGGTTTAATTTGAATTAATCGATTAGTTCAAGGACTAATGTTGAAAATTTGTGTTCAGAACTAGTTAACAAAGATGGAATAATGGAAGGGAAAAGAGGTCTTTTAGTAGGAAATGAATTTAAAATTCATTTGTAAAAGATATTTTAAGCTTTGGAAAATGAAAAAGAGGATATTCTGGAAGCTTGGCTCAATTTCTTCTCTTTCTCTTCCTGTAACTCCATAGATAAGGAGAGTTACTTTTAAGTTGTTTGTTTCTTGAAATTTTAAGTTGATTTTTGGTCTTTGGGTGATACATAAGCTTAAGGAAAGCTTATGATTGTTTAAAACTAAAAGATGAGTGAATTATTGATAAATTTGTGAAATGGGGTTTTAAGGGATTTATTGATATGGTTTAGTTATTGGATTTCTAGTGATAAATTTGACTTGTCAAGGGTCTAATTAAGAAGTTAAAAATATTAGAAATGATTAAGAATATGTTTGAAATATGGTATGATCTTTATTTTTTAAGAATTCCATAAAGAAATTTTGATATTATAAGAGGATTATTGGATATAAGTTGATTAGGATAAGTGTTAATGAGTTTGAGGAGCTGAATGGAGCTAAGGGTAAGAAGTTTATACAAATTTGGGGAAAAATTCGAAGTGAACTAAATGAAATCTGGGAAAGGGTATCGGTACTGGAAGAACATTATCGATACTATAGTGTTAAATCGAAGGAAATAGGTTGAATTTGATGAACAATATCGGTACTGATTAAATT